ACTGGAGAGGTAACCTTACATAGAATAAACAGTTCTAATGTGTTTGTTATAATGTCATTCTTTAATAGCACTTTATACAAGTAACACTCAAGCATGGGAACATAATAGCCATGAGAAATATACAATTCAAACTGTGTGGGAAGTATTATTTAGTGAGGTGAATAGACAAATGCAGTTACTGAAATGAAGATGACATTTTCTTATCTTGAGGTTAGTTCTGCTAAGTTTTGATATCTGTGCACTCTGAAGGAAATATTAGATTAATAAAGACTGAAATACATTCTTGAAGTCTCATAAGAAAAAAACTATCAACATGAAATTCAGTGATTGATGCATACTTTGAATTTGCTGCTCTCCATTTTGATTTTGTAAAGGAGGTTGTATTGGAGCATAAAAGATGGTTGGATAAAAGTACGGTGAGACAAACTCCTAAGAAAAAAATAAGGAAATAAATGTTACATCCCACAGCTTTGTCATCATATGGAGAATGTAATCAAATTATCATTCCTTCTGGTTAAACCAAAAAGGAAAACACACAAAAAAATAAAAAAGCACCAAACATGCCTTATTTATAATGTCTTTCCTGACCTGAGTTAGAGTTTATAGATATTTTTATCCCCCCTCCCACAAAAGATATGATGCATCATAAATTCATTAAAATTATAAGTTAGGTTAAAAGATTTACTTAAAGGGCTTTTAATTTTTCTTGATTTTTTTCTTCCCACACATTATAACTGGTTTAAAGCCCTAGGATTAACAGCAGAAAGCTTCAGCAGTTCTGTTATTTAAGTGTGTTAGAAGAGTTTGAATTAATTATCCCATGGCTCTACTTTTATAAAGGGTTTGTGGTGTTTTTTTTTTTTTTATTTGGCAGGATGTTATTTGATTCACTTACCTGATAAATGATTGCCAAAGTGTATCATTGGATTGTACCCAACACAGAACACAATGGAAAGATCCTTCCCTGTTCTTATAATTTTGTGTGTGTGTGTGTGTGTGTGTGTGTGTGTGTGTATTATGTATTATGTACATATAATGTTATTGTGTGCTGTTGAGTTGGGCTAACTCCTAGCTGACCTTGCAGTGGGTTTTCTGAGACAATAAATTGCATGGAAGAAGACTGTCTTTCTCCCACAGAGAAGCTGTTGAATTTGAATTATGTGCATTTGGGGTGTCAGTGCAACTCCTTAACACTAAGCTACACACACATGCACATGCGTATATGGAAATAGTCACACATTTATTGGATATTTACTATACGATAACTTCTGTTGTAAAATCTTACTGGTATGAATTTGTAAATTTGTGCAGGCATGAAGACAGAAAGAGTCCATAAATGTGCCAAGATAAAATGGAGACCTTTGACTCAAATCTATGCACTCTGGCTCAAAAGTCCATTCGTGCCTAAGTGACACTTTTTTCCATGTAGATGTAGTGTGGTCTGACTAACTCTTCTAGAGGCCTGAGTAGATAGAATAGTAAGAGGTAAACACATCTTTGTCTGCATATCTGCAATACCTTGGATGGATTTATAGGAAATTTCTGATACCTTATGTGTTCAGTTTTTTGTTATGTGCCTTTGAGTCGACTATGACTCACAGTGATGCTAATATAACCACGGCTCTGAGCCCTACCCTGTCCTGAGCCAACTCCACCATCTCCACCATACTGGACCTCATTGCCACAGTCACTGTGCCAACCCATCTCATCATCCAGGGGCCTCCTCTCCTGTACTGACCCTCTAGCCTTCCCAATTTGATGTCCTTCTCCAAGGACTGGCTTCTCCTGGCAACATGCCCATAGTATGTGAGATGCCGTTTCAAGTCTTTGCCTCCAAGGAGCAACCATTTCACCCACTTCAGGACAGTCCTATTTGTACCCTTGGTAGTACACTGCATGTTAAATACTCTTCTCCAGCACAGCTTAAAGGCACTGATTATTTTTCTCTCATCCTTCAGTCATTGTCCAGCTGTCAGATGTACAGCAAAAGATGAAGATGACAATGGCTTGCATCAGATGCATGTTAGCTATTGCTCTTGAGGACTGTGGAGAGGTCCTCGACAGCACATTTTCCCCATTGCAAATTGTCTTTTGATTTCCTGACTATCCAGGTGTCAAGGGTGTTGACTGTGGATCCCAGCAAGATGAAATAGTTAACAGCTTCAATCATTTCTACCTCTATCGTGAAGCTGTCTCTTGGGCTGGTGGTGAGTATTTTTGTTTTCCTGGTGTTGAGTTACAATCCATATTGAAGGCTGCAGTTCTTTATCTTCTCCAGCAAGTGCCTCAAATCCTTCTCAGTTGCTGCAAGCTAAGTTGTGTTCTTAGCATAACACAGGTTGTTGGCAATTTCTGATTTAAGTTGAGACAGGGCTAACTGAAGACTTATGGTACAAGGAGACCACTAATATGTTTGCAAAAGTGGAGGGTAAGAAAAAGAGAAGATCCTAAACTAGATGGATTGATTGCAAGAAATCAGTGTAAGCATATCAGAGCCTGGGAACATAGTTCAGGATTGGGTACATCTTTGTTGTCTTGTGCATAGGGCTGTTGTGAGTTCAAGGACCCAAAGCTATCTAGCAACAACAACAACAACAACACAAAATAAAAATAAAATTAAAAAGAGTTTTAAAAATACTAAGCATTCATGATATCATGTCAATAATAATTTAACCCTAAATTAAAACATAAACCACAGTAAAGATATTTTTGTGGGGAATTCAACATATTTTTATTTAACTGGGTGAATATCTTCAAGATCCAATTAAATAGGAATTTGCTAACCACATTAAGTTTCTTTTCTTACATAGAAGAGTGAACATTCACTGTAATGACAGTTTCATCAAGCTAAAATCTATTCACAAACCTACACTTTGAAAAAAAGTGCATTTCTAAGACATTTATATACAACTCAATGAAAATATACTAAGTCAAAAACTGTCATACTACATAGAATCAAACACCAACATTCAGTGTACATTAATATTTTTGAGATTTTTTTAACATTTGGCAGCATTACATTCAAATGGGATTTCTCAAAAGTAATAAAAGTATATACAATTTAATAATGTTCAAAATAAAGGGTATTAAATAGCACAAACAATATCACAAAATTAAACACCCTTATTGTCCATCAGTTTAGGGTTACATAAAGCAAGGGGATCTGTGTAGTTTGAATTTTACTTTCAACTTTGTACAAAGAATAGATTGGCCATAACACAGATAATCGTTTTGGCCTTATTTTGATATACATTTCTACTGCTATAGAGGAGAAAATAAAAAAGCTTTTAAAACTCTTGAGTAGATAAACCATTGGAAAAATAAGCTTCCTTAGAGAGGTTAGACCTCTCTACATCTCAAAACAATGGTTTCTTTTAAAAAATTTGGTATTTAGTTCATTTTAACTGTTTTTTGTCCTATTGAGGTCTTCTCTTGAAATAGCATAATTTATTGCCACTTAATAAGTTCTTAGATTTTGACCAATGATCTATCTATTCTGATACTGGTTTTAATCCTTGAAGCCCAGCCCTAAACTGCTGTGCTTCAAATAGCAATGCACACACATTTACTGATTTTTCATGGATTATTTACAACATAAAGGGTTTTTGTACTAAATTTTGATTAGTTGTACTGGGACATTTCTGTTTTCACTTGGGAAGATGAACCTAAAAACAGCAAAAAATAAAAGTAAAAAAAAAAAAGAAATGTTTTAGTTCTTAAAAAAATGAGAATGTAAGTTAAAAAAGGAAAGTTTTAAATCTTTCTCCAACTTAGTTTTACTTGGGAGTAAAAATTTTCAATAGTAAATTATGCTAATACAATTTTTCAAAGATAGAAGAAAACTGACCTCATTTCTTAAAACTTACCTTATATCTCTTTATATACCAATGTATCTAGTATACCAAAACATTTAAATACAATGTCTGTTTTTGTTCACATAAGTTTTTTTCCTATATTCTCTAGATAAGGTGCACCTCTCTATCAAAGAGAAAGTAATAATTTAAAAATGAAGTATTGTCTTAAAAATCAGCTTATTTGTTTGATTAAAAAGTGAGTTAGTCATTGAACTTAATTACTGAAGTTGAAATTCCAACATTTGTTACAAATTGCCTTTTAAAAAATTTGGCGTTTGCTTGCTTTCTTTTTAAAAATGGTTCTAATCTTTATTAAAATGTTCGCTACTTCAAGAGATTTACTTTTCCTTATAGTATTTAATTTAGTAAACAGTCTAAAAACAAGGACAAACCAGTTAATGTATGTTCATAATATCTGAGTCTAAAATAACTTAAATAACTTCCCAAAAGAGAAAGTGCTTCTGTCTGGAGGAGAGTAACATAGAATATAACCTTAGTGGCTCACTTACAGAACTCACAACAAAGATATTTATGGAGTAGGTTCTACTCATTCCTACAAGAGGAGAACAAAGGTCAATGGCAGGTGTCTGAAACTGACAAGTTTTACAGTCTTTAAAACCACCAATAATATATTTCACTGGAAGCATATAAAATAATTGTACTCTTTTTATGAATCACTTATGATTTTATAGAACTTTCAGGTGCCCTCTTCCCCATTTTTTTATCTATTCTACCTATAACAGCTGCCCTGCCACACATATTTATATGACTTTTACTATGTGAAACTTGGGCACTTAGCATTTGTTTCATATATAAAATCACTGACAAGCAGAGAAGGAAGACCACTGGGTTATGGCCCTCGTTAAATTGAGGGGTTGTAACAATTCTAGACTTGTAGCCACCATATTTATTTTGAAGAAAAGATACAATAAAATCATAAATAAAATCTGGGTTAAGTTAAATATTTATATGCACCATGAGGACCATGACATGTCTAGCACTAGTCAATATCATACAAGAAAATGCATGCTCATTTCAGTTCATGTAAAATTCACTTTAGGAGTGAATAACCTCTTTTTCTTGGAAATTTTGTATGGGTAAAGCACATGCTTCTTTGCTCAATTGTGATCACCTCTTTGTTACCAGAAGCACCAGCTCCAGACGTGAGAAAGCATTATGATTCCGGCAGCTGATTCCTCCTGTTCCGACTTTTCCGACTGTTGATGAGAGCCTTTAACTTGCCATAGTCCCCTCGTGGCTTTTGGGACTCGTCACCGTGTTGATGTTGCTGCCGAGTGTCTTTGCAGTACTGGTTAATCATCTGCATTTCTGAGTGGCTGAATGCCCCCATGATGTCCTTCGGGTGGAAGGGTAAAGCCCGCACAGAGCTGGCCCAGGTCCATGGAGACCATTTGTCTGTTACAATTGCCACCATATCTGAATCCAAAACTTTGAAGTTGATCTTGGCCACGGTCTGCTTGAAACTGTTTTCTGTTGCAATGCAGTGATAGAGTCCTTGGTCAGAGTTCTGAATGGAACGGATCAGAAGCCCTTGTGGAGTGGCAATGATTCGGTCATTCAGCTTGACCTAAGAAAAACAAGACACACTTCAGAAAAACACACTCTACAGCTCTATGCAGATATAAACAACATTTATAGAATATTACTAATTTTAAAAAATTTGGCAGAAGAACTAAATATTAATTAGGTTCATTCTCGGTGGATAGAGATTTTCTTTATTGTTGTTATTGTTGTGGTTGTGTGTCATCGAATAGAATCCTACAGGCACAGGAAGAGATTGCTTCACCTTCTTCAGTGGAGCATCTGGTGGATTCAAACCCCTTGCCTTTCGGATTGCAGTGCAGCTTCTAAGCCACTAGGCTACCAGAGCTCCCGTGGAAAGAGACTTTTGGTCAGTCTCATTGCCTGTCCCCCCATGTTGTTGTATACCATCGAGTTGGAACAGATTGATAGCTGACCCCCCAGAAGATTTTCAGAGGCAGTAACTGCATCGAAGGAGATTGCCCATCCTTCTCCCATGGAGCAGCTGGCGGAATTGAACCCTGTGCCTCTGAGAGTGCAGTGCAGATTTTTACCACTAGGCTACCAGAGCTCCCTATTATCACAGTGGACTCAACAAGTGTGAAAGTGTCATCCATCCTGGGAATACAGCTTGATATGTATTCTCTATAGATATGAGTACTTTCACTACCCACACTGGGACAAGTGCAAAGTTTTGATTAATTTTGAAATTTGAATCTCACCCAATATATGTAAATGAAATTCACAGATAATTTAAAATATCTGTTTCCTTCTGGGATCCTTTTATTTTAGTAAAAAATACTAATTTGCTAAAAACAGGGATTTTTTTAAGTATCTTGTCTAGTGAGTATATGAAAAACCTAAAAAATTATATATATATAGTACTTTTAACATTCTCAAAGGATGTTTCCAGTCATATCACACTAAAGAAGAAATAAAATTTATCTGGAACATAATTTTCTCTTAAAGTGTTCTTCTGAGTGGTTTTGCTTTAAAATGTATAACAAAATGCTATATAATTAATATTAGCTATTTACAGGTTTATCCTAAAGAAAATATTATTTGCTTGGAACTGGCTAAATGCTTGAAATTCATATTCTTCATGGATCTGGCCACAGCTCATATTTACGTCAGTAAATTCATTGTAGTATCTGTATTTTGTTGTTTGAAATAATTTCCATTGCACATAGAGTTAACGAACTTACTGCATAGCAATTTCCCCTCCCCCGCCCCAACAGAAGAATATATTTATGTGGAAAGTTTCATCAGACTTCAGGAGGCACTGCTAATAGGACTACATCTTAGACACACTAGAAGCTTTCTAGCTATTATATAAAGTTTTTTCACACTAGTGTGACATCAGACTTGTGGAATCTTGATGACATATCACTCTGTCGTTTTACAATATTTCTGTTTAAAAAACAACTCCTTCCAAACAAGTTTAGTGCCAGTGTTTTCCATTTGTAATTCTTGGGTATTTCCCTTCCCCTATCCTCCTAAATAAATATGCTGGTCCCCCAAACAATGATTCTATATGTTGCCTAAATGAAACTTGAGAATTCTAAATAATGGAGCAATGGAAACATTACTACATAGCAGAAAAATGTTCAATGTAATAAAGGTTATAGTTTAGTCTAATTTCTTGCTGAGGAAACTTTTTAAAAAGCACTTTTTATTTGGTGAATCATACAAAGAGGCTGTTGTGTGAGAACTTGGCTTCTGGGTTTGCACACATCTTGTTTCTTTTACAAGTGCTTCCTCACATCAGTGCTCCACTCTTAGTGGCCCAGCTCTTGTTTCAATCACCCTGTTACAGAGGTGAGGAGGCTGAGGAGATTTCTAATTAATCTATCAACCCTAAAGACGAATGATTTTAGAGCAGGTGACATTTTTCATCCTAAACCATAAAAGGATGTTCATATGCCTTTTCCTCTTTGTTTGATCTGAACCTCACTGAAGAGCAGTGATTTAATGTCCTCTCCCCAGTCTTGATTGATTGAGGCTGTGCTGTATCACTTACCTCTTTTCTCCGATCTTTGTCTTTCTGTAGCAGCCACTTGATAGATGCCTGTGGAGATTTGGGGGTGCACTCCAGGAAAGTGGTGTTATTTTTTACCCCATACTGAACAATTTCAGCTGCATTTCTGTAAGCTAAGAGGCAAAAATAAACAGGTTGAGGAATAGTGGAGAGAAAATGAAGGAAAATAAAACAAGCAGGGAGATAGGGCCGAGAGAGGAGAGAGAGTTTGGAGCACATTCTCCAAGGAATATATGCTTCTCTGTAGTTGTTAGATCAATCCCAGCAACCCAAAAGAAAAAGAATGACTTAATAGGTAAACTAGCATATTGGTCACTTGTTTTAATTAGTTTAAAGAAAAAGAGGAAAGATATAAGAGAAACAATGTTTATTCATTACTCTATTGTTACTACTCATTACAGATTATATGCAATATTACTTTGAACATTTAATTGTCACAACATTCTTATAAATTGGATTATCTTTTCTTTTTCATAGTGTAAGAAACTGAGGATCAAGAATTGAAAGAACCCATTATGGCTTAAGAGCAGGTCAGCACTAGGTCTTTATTAAAGCAAAAATGTCTACCCCTGGCAAGGTGTAGATGAAATCTGCAATAACTGTGAATGGGGAAAAAGCAAGATGCGAGTGTAGTGGGATGTGGTGTTTAAGAAAACAGTCTTGGGAATTAGAGGACCTAAGACAGAACACTGACTCCATCATGAGAAGCTATGTGGTCCTAGACATGTTACTTGGCTTCTCTGGGTCATAGTTTTCCTCAGCTCTAAAGACTGTCACAATGTTCATAGCTTCTCTTTACTTAAAATATTAAATTAGGGAAAATATTTAATGCAATTATGTGGTGGCTTCTTGTTGTTGTGTACCGTAGAGTTGGAACTGACCCACAGCTGACACTCTGGTGGGTTTTCAGAGGCAATTACTTGAACAGAGGAGACTGACTGTCCTTCTCCCACAGAGCAGCTGGTGGTCTTGAACTGCATGCCATCAGGATTGTTGCACAGCTTCTAGCCACTAGGCCACCAGAGCTCCCTACTACTCAATAACATGGATATCACACTTATTTGTAAAAATAAACATATTGATAAACCTTACCTTGATTTTTAACCTTTAACAATAGTTTTTATTGTGTTTGAGTGCCAGCTTTAAAGTGAATTTGTTTTCTGGTCACCAATTCTTATACATTATGATTTATGACATTGATTACAATCCCTACATTATAAACAGCACTATTCTAAAATTCCTACTTCCATGCCCCATTTCCATTTGTCCTTTTTCTTATCCCTTCTTTCCCTCTGAATTTCATTTCAGGTGAAATACTGCCCTTTTGATTTTGTGAGGTTTATTCTTCTAAGGACTTCCTTCCTTTGTGGCATTATTAATCATCATAGTGGCCTGTCAATTGTTTGGCTAAAGGTTAACACTGTTACCAGCATTGAAGTATAACTGTGGGCCATATTAGACCGGCAAGTCTGGTTTGGATTTTGGGTCTGCTTGTTTGTTTGGTTTTTCACTATTCTGAGTTTTGTTTCACATTTTTATCTATTCTATCAGGGGTGTTTTATTGTATTTCTTTTCTACAGAATGGACTCTACTGAACTCTGGTGGCATACTGTTTTTCATGCTGGGTTAAATGTGAGAATAGTTTTAATGCACCCTCCCTTGTGCAGGACAAAGATGAGGCAGTTTCATCTCATAGATTATGGCCTCAGAAATGTGATAGAGGGTCACAGAAAGTTACAATTGACTTGAGGACAGTGGAGTTAGCATAATTTCTCAAATGTTATATCAGTGATCTAATTTTACTATAATACAAATACCACAGCTGGATGACTTTAAAGAAGAATGAAACTTATTCCCCTTCACAGTTTAGGAGGCTAGAAGTCTGAATGCAGAATCTCCCTATCTCTTCAGTTTTTGCTGCTGGTTCCCCCCCCCCCAGATGTCCATGTGTGTGTCTACTCTAATATATGGATCATGGTCTTCCATGTTTGCTTGTTTAGGGAGCTCTGGGGGTATGGTCTGTAGCAAATGGCATTGCTAACCTAAGCGGTGGGTATCTCTGGTAGTTCAAATCCACTGGTTACTCCATGGGCAATCTACCCCCTTAGTGATTTACAGCCTTGGAAACCTAGTGGAGGGTCACTATGAGTCAGAACCAACTGTAAGCCAAAATATTTTTCTAGTCAAGAGAGTTTGAATCAAGATATTATATACTGATCCTGCCTTAGTCATGTAACAAAGACAATACATTACCTAATGACGTTATAACCATAGGCATAGTGTTTAGAATTTACAACACAAATGCTGGGGTGACCAGAGTCAAGCAGCAAGCAAGCATTACATGTGATATTCTCTCTCTCTCCCTATTTTATTAAGGAAGTTTTTAGTTTGGATTCTGACATCAGGTGTATCAGAGACAGTAAGACTGGCTCAGGATAGAGTTGGGTTCAGAGCTATTGGGAATAGGGTCGCTATGAATTATAGTCAGCTCAACAGCACAGAACACCACCACTACTTCCATGACTATGGAAGCAATAGCTACAGCCATTGCCACAATTAATAGTAAAATAATAGTAAATTAAAACATGAATTAACAGAGAAAACAGGCACTTATTATTCTAATTGAACATCCTTCAATTAGACATTTGGATGAATCAAAAAGTATCTGTCTTAATTTGCTATTTAAGTCTAGTTCGTAACAAGGATGCGATTCTGAGAAAGAAAAAAAAAACCAAGTAAAATGAGTGGCAACAGGAATCTCAGCACTGGTTATTAGCAAGAGCATATTCAAAGCACTTGTCTGAGCTAGGGGCAATGTCTACAGGGAGTTACTTGCAGAGCTTCAAACTGGTTCTTTCTGGTTCAGATATGACTGATGAAGTGAAACCAGAATCTGTAAAATAGGTATCCATCAGAACTGTAATGCCTAAACAATTGAATTACTTCGTTGCATAAATCTCCAAGCCTTGACCTGCAGAGTGATAAACAATGATACTTGGCTAAAATATGGCAACTAACAGCACTATGAATGTGTATAACTCTAATCTTTCACATAAAGATACTGTAAAGGTTCATCATGGCTTTTTTTATCCTTTATTTTTCCCATTCTAGTTACAGTTCTACAAATTTAGGTTGCTTAAGCAGACTTGATACTTCAGTTTCTTGTGAATGGCTGGAGTGAGTTTAAGAAGATTATTGATGGACAAAGTGTAGTAAAAGATTATCTCCATGTCTGGGAGGGAAGGAAGTTGCTGTCGTCAGGTGTCACCGAGTTGTGAATGTGAACAACAGATAGGAACCCTGTCCTAGCCTGTGTCATTCCTACTATTCCCAGTGCATTTGAGCCCATTATGGAACACAAGGCAAAATGCTCAAAGTACATACAATTGTTCTTAATTTGTTATTTGTTTGTTATGGATAAGTTAGAAAACCAAATGCTTCTTTCTTCAGAAAGAAAACAAAAGCTAAAAAAGTCCATATTTACCATCCTTATCAAATACCTATAAACTAAACATACCCAAAGTATAGATTTAACCAGACATTTGTCTTTTACAATTTCCAGTATATATAACAACACATTTTTTAAATTACCATACAGCAATGATAATAATATTCAAATATTTATTTAAAATGATATTTCTGTCACTGAAATCTGAAGGTAACACAGCTACTCTACCTAAGTCATCACTGATCACTTTAAATACCTTTTAGATTAAATCCTCTGCATTGAGTCAATGGATTTCCATGTCTCACATCTTGTCTTCGGCTCCTCCTAAAGTTACAGAAATACATAAAAATTATTTAGGATTAACATGGACAGTTAAAATGTGGGAAATTATTGTTTCTTAATTTCTCAACCTGTTGGTTGCCTAAACTTACACCGATTACAAAGAAAGAAAAAGGAGGCCCCATTATCTGACCTACTATCTGACATCTTTCATTCAATGCTTCAATGACGTAATACATATGAACCTATATTTTTCTTTCAGAATAAATTCTTAACTGTGCTACCCAAAACCTCTCTGGATAAATGTGATAATCCATAATTAACAGGATAAAATTTTAGTTTACAGTCATTTATAAAAAAATTATTAAAATTATAATCTCCAAAAATAGAAGCTGTTCAAAGTTATGAAAGTTTTCTCTCAAAGAAAAAAAACACCCCTTATATTAAAAAAGTCAACATTTCCTAAAATTTTGAAGATGTATTTTAACTTTTCTAAAACAACTAATAAATAGTACAATGGTACATGGACATTTATTATAAAGCTAAGCCTTTCTTTCCAATTTTTAATTTTGAAAAATTTTAAAATTGCAAAAAATCTGGTACATTAGCACAATAAAAATGGTGCACCAGAGTTTATGTACTTTACATATTTACATACTTATTTTATCTCTAATATTTAAGTTAGGTGGCCTAGTGGTAAGAAATTGTCCTGCAATACTGAAGGAATATGGTTTTAACCTATCAGCTGCTCTGAAGAAAGACATGGGCAATTTCCTCCTGAGTGATTGACCAACTGCCTCTGAAAACTTACTGGAGGTTCAGCTATGGGTCAGTCCACCTCAATGGTATTAACAACAACATTTATAAGAATATTTTATATACATACTTCATATGAAAATCTTTACAAATAATTTAAATAGACATGATAGAAATAAACATGATCTTTCATTCTTACCTAACTTTTCATACCCATCATTTGATTTTCTGATTTTTAGATTCAGTAACCATACTGATATCCATTGCACTACATATTATAATAAATAAAAACAGAGTAACTAAAATCTTCTTGGCAATGTTTTATGGATCTGAACAATATGTTGTAAATGAGAAGGGAAAAAGCTAAATATTGGAAGCATGGAAGTAAATTCTTTGATTGCTTGTGCTCAGTGCTGAAAAATTAATAACTATATTGCTTAATTTTGTCAATCCTTAATTCTCTCAGTACTTTCTCCCTTAAAAATAAGTTGAAATATTCAACATTAAGAACCAGCAGTATTACAATTATAGTGTGGTTATTAAACTTATAAGGTTATATTAATCTCAAAGTCATTAATAAAGAAGAAATAATTTCATTTTAAGGTAATAGACAGTAGTTATTAATTTATGCATAAAATAGGACATATAAATATATTCATGGAACTATATGCATAAACATTTTGATATTTAAATACTAATACTCCCTTCTAATCTTGCCTTCATTTAATCATATATATAGATGTAAAAAAATCACAAACTAAGAACATAGAAATATCAGTCATACTTATCTCAGGAAATAGAATTAATGCTCTAGTCTTTAGAAGCTCTTATATCAGGGCTTATTGCCTTACATCTGCTGCATTTTAAAGTCATGACATTATTTATTACCATTTTGAGAGGGTCTAATATAATGAGCACCATGTGAGAGTTCCGAGGCTTATCTGGCTGTTTTCAGCCATCTAGACAGGCACTCTCATTCAGGATGATTGAATTTATTGTCCCGTGATCAGCATTATAAAGTGGTTTACCCTTGTATACATGTCTTCAAGCTGGGCAATCTGAATTTGCAGTATCACAAAATTTCCAGACATTCAATTATATAAACTGTATTATTATGGCTTGGTTTCACTGAGATCACTGAGGCAGCCATCTGAACTGTTTGTGTATGCAGCTCTCAGTACATTCATATAGCATCCCCAAAACACACTGGTAGGAAAAGTAATGTTATACTTGGTATAGGATTTGGTGTTTGGCTTAAGTTGCCAAAATTCCTTTCCTTATAATGTATTCCTGTGGATAAGCAATGCAATATTTTTTCTTGTATAAAAGCATATTTACTTGAAGATTGAACTGATTATCTTGTCTCAAAATATGGTTTCTAAATATGTGTCTGAATCCAAAATAAGTAAGAGACTAAATTGCAGTACTCAATACAAATACACAAATATTTAAGATACTAGACAGCAGAGATAAAAATATTTGCATAGTTTTCATGAGCTAACATTACAAAATGAGGCAACTATTGAGTCAATGATATTTAATAATTTTTTTTATGTTCAAATCTGGATGCCAACTGATTTAAACATGTAAGACAATACTTCTCTGTTTCCATATAAGTGGCTTAGTTTTACTTCTCATTCTTAAGAATTCTTCTAGAGCTCCACGCAGCGCTCATTTGCACACCCGCTCCCTGGCTCGTGCCCTTGTTTACAGCGTCCCTGTGTATGTCGGACTGACTGTATAAAATTATAAATCTGTCTATATCGACTTGTCCATGTACGTCCATTAAAACCATAGTTCGAGAAAAAAAAAAAAGAATTCTTCTAAGGGTAACAGTAAAATAGAAAGTGTACACAGCAAGAGGTTCTGCTCTTTATTATAAGATTATGTTTTGTGATGTTAGGAAGAGAATACAGCACATCAGAGCTGACCCACAGCTGACCCTCCAGTGGGCTTTCATAGGCAGTACATTGCACAATCTTGCTCCCGCAGAGCAGTGGATAGATTCAAGTGTACCAATATAACGGGACACTTGAGTAAATGAAGTAGCTCACATAGCAGCAGAAACTTCCAAAACATAAAATATAACCTTAACTATGACATGGTAGTTCGGACTTTTACTGGGCAGCTCTGGTAGTGCAGTCCATAGGGAGTTATGCTGCCAACCAAGAGGCAGTGTCTCTTCAGTGGTTCAAATCCACCAGCTGCTCCACAGGAGAAGGATGGGCACTTCCCTCCCATGGAATTAACAATCTCAGAAAATCCAATTGTAAGGTCAGTTGAGTTAGTTCTGACTCAAAAGCAATTAGATTTTTGATGACATTTTATTTGAAAAATATTTATAAATCAAGATGTGTGCTACTCAAAGGTTAAGTCATCTAGGTTTTAATCTGTAGGACTAGGTTAAAATTCAGTCTTTGATCTCCAGATTAGAGACATTTCTTCTTTAGAAAGATATAGTGCTGTGGCTTCTTTTAGCACTAAATCCAGTTACTAGACAGATATTGGTGCTAGAAATACTAAATTCTAGATTCTTATCAGAAAAAAAATTGTTTTACAAATACTTAATTATGAAAAGAATGTCAAAGTATTAGTGCTGTTCTATTTTGGAGTGCAGGATAAATATAGTTGAAGAATATCAACTTCTGACCTGCACTTACTGGGAATTCCTCATTCATGGAGAATAACTACAGTCCCAATCCCTAATACGACTGCGGCTCAACAGCACACGCTGAGTCAGTCGGTGTAGCGTGTGTGCAGCCCCTGACGTCTAAGGGCATCACAGGCCTGTTGTTGATTGCTCAATCGCAGGCGGCTGATTGCCACTTGTGCCTCTCAGAAGTTGGGGTCTGAGGCTGCTCAGGGATCACATAATTAGTGTTTGTTTGTTTTTTTAAATTTAAGATAACATTTGTAATTCTCTCTTTTTTGTTCAAGTTCACATCACAAGCTTAGGACAAAGAGGACCTCATAGTAATGAAGTGGAGAAACTCTTAACTAGAAATCAAAGGAAACCAGGGCTGTCCTGTTTAAACCTTAAAATGGCGTGGAGGAACACAAGGCATTTGTATACAGAGGCGTCCGTGCACAGAGACAGAAGACTCCTGGTTGAAAGAGCAAGGGTGCAAACTGTCTCACAGTGACCACGCCTCTCTATTCCAGACTTAAAATTTTAACTCTCTAGAGAGATAACATGTCTACCTGAATATCTCATAAACAAGTTGCTGATTAATCCTAGCTGACCCTCCATGGGGTTTCTGAAGACGTGAACCTCATGGGAAAAGAGTCCATCTTTGGCCCAAGGAGCTGTCAGTGGATCCGAGCCACAAGAGAGGCTTGGCCTTGGGGTCAGCAGTGCACCTTTCTGTGGACTAGGCCCCTGGAGCTCCCTGATCTGAAAGGCATTATCACCTTAGCATCACCTTTAACAAGCTTGCTTAGTTTATGGTCTCTATTTTCTCAAGGGGTGGGATCTACACACCATTTTCAAAGGTTAGTTCCAAGAACTTGGATCATCTGTAATGTCTCTCTCTCTCCAATGACTCTAATTCCCCCTCCATAATTCCAACACAAAGCATTATTACATCCCATCTGGATTCTTATAGTAGTATCCTAACCGGTAGCACAGCGTCTGCTGAAAGCCCACATTCCCACTCTAGTTCCAGGATCCCTAGCCAAATAAGCTACTATTACCTTTTCAAAATAAAACTGAAATAATATCACACCTGTGCTGACAACCTTCAGTTGTTTTCCATTTCATTCTATATAAATGCTTGTCAGCGTCTTATGGAATCCTATGCGACCTATTCCTGTGACTTTTTTCTGCCTGTTTTTTTTTTCTCCTCATGGAATAGCCTCGATAGCGTGGTGCCACCCTTGCGCAATGTAAGTGCACTTCAGCTTTAGTGGTATCTCCCCCTAGACATCACTTAGCGTCATTCAAGCTCTTGTTCAAATGTCACCCCCACCCAGTGCCTTCCCTGATCACCCATTTAACCTTGCAGCTCCTTCTGTTTACTGTCTTTCTGCCCCTTCTAGAATTCATTTTTCATGAAGGCAGAGATTTTTTGCCCTTTTTCACTGTCATGGTTATATGCTTAAGTCCTAGAAAATGGCCTGTCAAATACTTGTCCCTTAATTATGTGTTGAACTCATAGATAAAAAGACCAGAATATTTTTGATAAGCAGAGTGCTCAGACTGCCGTAATCTTCCAAAGTCCTTATAGTCCTGTAACAGAGAATAAAGAACCAATGGAACTATCAGTCCAGTGCTTTATTGAAAGGCCATTATTGTCCATGGCTGGTTCTGCTTTCTCTCCTTTGTTGACCCTAATTTATAGGTTTTTGGATCTGTCACTCACCATGCTTCACTGAAAATATCTACAAAGTTGGCTGACATTGAATTCTGCTTATTTTTTTGCTCTACAATCAATTTCTGCACTGGAGTCCCTTCCAAACTACTGCAGAATATTATGTCAAAACCTCTGCTTAGAAAGTAGACATCCTGCATTAGATTTCATCAGACGTTTCCACTACATTCAGTAATGATATCTCATCACTTTTAGTGAAAGTCCAGACCATCATGGTTTCGAGAGAAAATGAGGGTACCCAAGCTGAAATAATGCTTCTGTACCTTCAACCAGGACAAACGTTCAATACAGCTTAAAGGAAAACCAAGAAAATGATTCTTTAAAGACAAGCTAAATCATATATATATTGTAATATAAGAAGAATAAACCAAATATCAGATAAGTTTGGGTGCAGGGTGTTGCAGAAGATCAAGAACCTACCTCAAACCCAGCACTTACTGGCTATGACTGTGCTGTGAAATAGTCATTCTTCTCATTCAAAGATTATCTCTGGTGCTAAGTATAGCTACCACTCTGCTATTTTCAAGTCTACTTGGAGAAAGTGAGCTCTAATAGTGTGGTGCACTGCTGTATTACTGAACAACATCAATTTTGGTTTCCAGCTGAATGCCCAGTACTCACCGCTTCCCAGTAGGGTAGAATCGAGAGCAAGAATGGCCATCCCAGGCGCAGTAAGGGTCCCTTGCCAGGCAGCAGTCAGCACAGGCTGTGCCGTAGATGTGGCAGCGATGCAGGGACACTTGGGAAATCCCTTCATTGGAGCTCACATACAGCTGTTGCTATTAAAGGAATGATGATGATTTATTTCAGATGTGGAAGCTAAAAGAAGACTTTCAGCAAGAGAACATCATAACGCATGCCCACAAACCCACAGATTCATTTTTGAAATAGAGACTGAAACTGAGATGCAAAGAACAGAAGCTTACACAGGAAAAAAATAAATGGAATTTTCCTATGTTAATATGCCTGTAACATTACCACTTTCTTGCATTAAAAACGAAAGTTCAGACTATGTAGAATGGTAATGCAGTTTAGACATTGGGGTTCATTGTTCTCTTTTTCAAGTTTGAGCTAATACATTACAGATTTCGATTATAATGCTTTCTTTTTCTTTGAATCCTGTCTCTGAGTATTCAACCAAGCCAAGGTTCTTACTCCGCAAGTCTGGCAATACATCATCATGTAAAAGTCCCTAGGTGGAACAAACTGCCAACTTCCCAACCACTAGGCAAAAGACTGGGAAGTTTCACCCTGAGGTACAGGGAATATGAGCTTCAATCGACTTCCTAACAGGTCATTGTCTTGAAAATTCTATTCCACATAGGGTCATTATGAGTCAAAACTGTCTCAACAAGGACTAAGAACAACAAACGACAAAAGATTTTTAGGTTTAAAGAAATAAAATAATTGCTATAAAGTGTTAGAAAAAACCTAAAAAAAAAAATACAAGTCCTATGCCTTTGAAAGTAAAGTAACAGGGTTTATGTTTAGATATGTCTTACTTAACAGAAACATCCACCACTCAAAAACAATCATGAGTAAAGATTTCAGTTGTCATTTTTCAGTTGTCTAGAACTAACGATACTTCACTAACTCTTTTAGCTGTGTACGCAAGAGTTATTAGGACTCAAAGGCACGAGTCTGCCACACTTTTCGTTTTTAAAAGGACTGATAAATCCATGCTGGGTGGTGCAGTGGTTAAGTGATCAGGTATCAATGGAAAAATCACTGGTTCAGAAACTAACTGCCCTGCAGGAGAAAGATGGGCAGTCTCCTCACAGGCAATTAACTGTCTCTCAAAACCCACTGAAGGGTCAGCCTGAAGTCAGCTTCGATTGTGTGGTTCCAACAATATGTGGTTGTTGTGTAGCATCAGTTTCAAACTGACCAATAGCTGACCCTCTGGGGGGTTTTCAGAGGCAGTTAATTGCACTGGAGGAGAATGCCCATCCTTCTCCTACAGAGCAGCTGGTGAGTTTGAACCATGCACCTTCGGGATTGCAGCGCAGCGTCTTACCACTAGTCAACAAAATTCATTTCCTAGCAGCCAGGGACTGACTTGCTTAAACAACTTTTATGGAATTAGCCCTTACAGTATTTAGTGGTTGAGGTGTTGCACTGCAAACCCAAATACAAGCGACTGAAATGCGCCAGTTTATCCTCAGGAGGAAGACGGACAATCTCCTCCTGCACAAGTTGGGTTTACACCCATGTGCAACCATGTGCCATGTGCCTTCTGGTTGTCAGCATAGCTCCTTACCTCTAAGCCACCAGAGGAGGAAAATATCAGTGAACAAACTCAAACTGTAAACTTTCAACTCCAAATATTCAAATCATATATCACTCTTACAATTAAATACTTTTTTCCAAAATAATTTTTAAGCAATCTTCCTGAAAATGACTGTATCTCAAATTAAGCATTAAAACTCTGAGAGAGCAATTTCACATTTTGACAATAACTATCTTTCTAGAAGAGTCAAGACAAGTTCTTACTTAGTATGAAAAAAATATAGCTCAATACACCTGCTTATTAAAAGTTTCTTTGGGGAAAGGATACAGTGGGTTTCATTCTAATTTTTTAAATTAATCCAATTAATTTTCTGTTACATGAAGTTAAAAGGTAAAGATAAATTAAAAAATAAATGAGCATAAAGTTAACAACAAAAGAGCACTAGAAAGTTTAATAAATTATGATATTTAAATGTTTTTAAATGTGCTTCTCAATTTAGAATCCTCTCACATGGAAAACAAATAAGAATAATTTTCAGTCTAATAATTCTTGTCCTACATCTAACTGGTTTAACAACAACCAAAGTTCATTATTTACTATATAAGATGCCAACACTGAAATAGATTTGGGTATATGTGTTATGCATTTATCTTGTAGAATGGATTGTAAACTACAAATAATGTGAAACTTGAAATTGTATAAAGAACTACTATGCTACACAAATGGCTTTGTGTCCATTTTGAATTTTGTTTGGACACTTTCTCTTTTCAGCGAACTACTTTCAACAAAGGGCATCCCTGCTGACTTCAAAGCAAGCCCTGACATGAGATCAGCTCCCCAGGACATTAAGGAAAATTAGGAATGGCTTCTTGTTACTTGGGGAAGTGTTTGCTATGCAGCATACAAACATTTTTTACAGATGAGATCTTTAGCACTATTGTACCTTATTTCTTTTTCTTCATAAAAGTCAAGTTAAAAGACTACAAGACTGACTATCAAAAATAGTTCATCTAGAACAGACCAAATATGGTGAAGAACACTAAAATTATGTCATCAGTTGTGCTAACCAGAAAACCTTTATTCTGTTTTCCAAGAAAAATACGTCTCCAGCTCTTACTGATAGAACTATCGTGGATTCACTGTGTTTTAGGCAATTTATATAAATTAACTTGTTTGTGAGAAATGCATTGCCTCACAGTTGCATGAAATCAGGTCAGAGAAGGTTAATGATGTGGCTGTAATTTATGGCCAAGTTGGTATTCAAATACATGTCAGTCCTTCTCTGAAGCTCTCTTCATTTTGACTGTTCTATTCTGCCCCTTACAATTTATGTTTTAGAGATAACACATGTAGATATCGGAGATGCATATGTTGTGGAGACTGGCCCTGGACATTTCCTTTCTATAATCATTGTATATCTGAACAATGATAAGCACAATGATTTTTTTTCTCTCCACATTATTAACCTCGACAAGGCTTATGTATGAGACATGCAGGGCTCCCCTCCTCCACCAGGTTATATATAAACCTCTAGGAAATAGTGTTTCCTTAAAAATAAGGGAAATTGAAAGAATTTATTTGAATTTGTATTTTAATTTTATAAATAAACTAATAGAAAAAAGTTAAAAAAAGCATAAAAGAATGCACTGCACATTTCAAACACATGACAGTAGTAGGGAAGCAAGAGAGAAGACTGAATGACCATTCCAAGTCCCCGAGAATGTGTGTGATGTTGCAGTAGCCCAAACATTATGCTAAATGCTTTCTTTAGAAAGATTATTTTTATTTTGGTTGGCTACACACAGAAACATCTGAGAATACAGGATATAGACAATGTTGGGCTATCTTGATGTTTATATGTCCTGTTCCAATGGTCTTTTATTAAAAATAAACTTATTTAATCTTCTACTAAGAGTTAATAAATTGTGTATCTAAATCCAAGTGATGTTTGTGGTATCCTTTAAACAAGTTAACTCTCTGGTTAATACAGAAAATAATTTTTTAAAAGTATACAGGTCTTCCATAATTTATATGTCTTCCATAACACTTTATGTCTTCCTTATATTTCTCTTTCAGAACCTTTTAACATGTGAAGAAAAAAAAAGACATTTTGGATTTTCTTTTTACCTTTTTAGATGAAATTTTCATGGTTGTAATGGGAGCATAATTCTGAAAGATGAAAACACAGCACGTTAGTTGCTAAAATGATCCCCAATTTAGCAATTAAAAAGATTTTTCTTTTCTATTAATATCTGAGGATTATCATTCTTCTCTATATGTACATAGACTTTTAGAGACGAGAAATACTTGCACACATATTTTCTCTGTTCAGACTAAGGATGGACTTATTATGCAGGTGTAGGTCAAAACTGAACAAAGTAAGAATTATAACATATCAGTTAATAAAGATGGCACAGTGTTCAAAACTTGGCTGCTAACTGAGAAATTAGTAATATACACTCACCAATCACTTCTTGAAAAGATATGATAGTCTACTTCTATAAAGATTGAAGACCTTATCTATGCTATAGAGTCAGAGTTTTATTCTTAGAAACCTGAATCTCTGCTACAGAATATGCTCTATGTCTGTGAAATATAAGCTATGTACAGTATGTTGTCATTGTTGTTGTGCACGGTAGAGTCGGAACCAACCCATAGCTGACCCTCTGGGCGGTTTTCTGAGGCAATTAATCACACAAAGAGGAGAGTGCCCATCCTTCTCCTGCAGAGCAGCTGGTGGCCTCAAACCGCCTGTCTTTGGGACTGCAGCACAGCTCCTTGCCACTAGGCCACCAGAGCTCCCATGTACAGTATATTATAGAATATATACCTTGAAAATATAGTATAGAATCTATTCTGTGTCTGTAGTGCATATGCCTTGAAAATATACTCTGTACAGAATAAAATAAACTCTATGTCTTAGAAACCATACTCTGTGCAATAGACTTAGTATTTTATTCTCTCCTGTAATGCTGTTATGAGTCACAATTAAGGTGACAATAACAGATTAAGGACTTTATTCAAGGATTTGGAGAAAATTGAAATTTGAGAAGAAACTTTACGAGGTACTGATTTTCCCCTTCAAATGTTTCCATTTATATATATTCTTTTTTTTAAATTTTTTTTCATTTATATATATTCTTAAAGAAATGGGTCTCTAATTTAATTAATATAGAACAATATTCATCCGCCCTTCCTTCAGTTATTGAGACAGATAATTCTTTCCACTTTAAAAACAATGGTGTACAGTACAGCATGTTATGACTCAGAAGCAGATATGAAATCTTAATTAAATATCAATTAAGCACCAAATCAGACAATCTCTTCCCCATAATGCCATTTATCTGAGCCATGATTTATGAAAATATATAATCTATGTTTCAATTTGAAATGCGAGTGAAATGCGAGTGAACTGTAACTGTCAATATTTCCTAATACATCATTTCTGGTGAAGATGTACCAGCTGATAATTATCACATTTCTATAATTTTATTTCCCCAAATCTTTAACAGAGTAACAAGACACTGTAGCCCTTATGTCAGGAGTGTTGTCGAGATCAGCTGTGCAATGTTACTTAGTGTGTATGTTTCAACTTAGGTTATTTCAGAAAGAAAAACGTCTCCTTTGACTTAGTAGAATAATCTTATATTGGACCTATGGGAGCAAGAGCAGCCGCAGTTCATTGTTCCCATAAAATTACGTCCTCCTTTCCATCCTCTTCCCCTCTCTTCAATTTCTATCCAAACATGAGTACACTTGTCCACTTCAATCATGTCTTCACCTTTTACTTTCATATTGAACTTGATCACTTACTTGCTTTTAAGTCATAGTGATCTGTGGGAACCAATTCCCAGGAAATAATTAGGTGAAAAACAAAGAACAATAAGAAGAAAAAGAGAGGACAAGTGAAAAAAAAAAAACAAACAAACACCAAAACCCAACAACCCAGTGTAGCCTGGAATACTGAGTTTAAACAATAACTCAGATTAGATTTGGACACTGGAGTTAGGAAGGCTATGGATTGGTAGGTATCTCATCATATTCCTTCACCATATGAGCACTTTGAATATAAAAGACTATCTTTTACTTATTCAATGTTATTTGGAAAGACAGTATAAGCCATATGTATTAATACTCTTTGTTGGAGAAAATAAATGCCAGAAAAGGTCTATTTTCTCCCCAATGAGAATTATTGAATGTACCTAAGATTGTTCTGAAAGAGTAATTAATTATTAAAGTCATTACACTTTATTTCTTAAATACTATTTATTCTTTTAAGAATTAGACTTTATAAATTCTCTGGTGAAGACTCATGAAGTTACATTTGAATAAATCAAGGGAAGAAGATTTCTAAGTCACCTCTACTCAAAATTATTTTTCTCTCTGGTGTTGAGTTTACTTAAAATCATTTTCAAAGAGAAAGTAGGCATTAATCTAACAACTGCAACAACTTCTGACTACCTCTTATATATATAAGAAATGTGTCACAACTAATATATCTCCTGGTCATCCACTCATAATTACATCTGCAATTCAATCTAAGCTCTGAAAAATGGACTTATTTGAGAAAATACGAACATAGGTTTAAAAGGAGATATTGTGGTTCTACACTCTGTAAAACTGCAATGTCTGGTGTTTAAAAGTAATGTTGACTTTCCTGCGGTGTATCAGTGTGACACTTCCCTAAAGAGCTGCTTCGATGTAAATGCATTGTTTCCTCATAGGCCCGTCACAGTATATCATACACACCCAATCATTTTTACCTCACCTCTGAAAATGTGACACAAACACTGCTCAAGACAGTAACAGTATTTGGTAAGTGTGTATCTTGACTTGGCCATTATCAATCACTGGCACACGCATCAGTAAGAAAGTCAAAACCTTTTTTTAAGTCTCTCTTGTGCTGATGTCTCCCATATGCATTTACAAGGGCTTTATTTTTCCACTGAGAGTTTATTCTTTGCAATGATAACATTGGTGCAAAGTCATACAACAGACCATAAGTAGCACATGATCAGAATAACTCAAATTTCTTTGAAACCTTTCCATAACATACATATTTGGGTTTATGTCAAGCTCACTTAATTAACAATATTTCCTGGCTATCCCCAAAAAGATATTTCAGGATTAAATATGAAGTGCTGCAATAGGACATGTCAGCTATCTTAAGAAAACTCTGAAGTAGAACACTTTATATATTTTGCTAGCCAAGTTGTCCTTACTGAATTGAACGGGACAAAATAACTCCCATATAATATGATTTTGGCTCATCTAGGGAAGCAGCAATCATTTTTTTTTTTAAAAAGCACAACAAACAAACATGAATAAAGCACTTGAACAGGCTCTATGGGCATGATTTTAACACGCTAATCACAAAAAGACCACATGCCTAAGAGAATCCAGATTAAGTATGATGAAGTTTAAATAGCATAAGAAATTTGTCAGTGTTCTCCAGGTTTTTTATTTAATTTGATTCATTTTCACATATATACAATTTAAAATGTATCAGCATCATCTGAAAACACTGCATCTTAGTCATTGATATGATTATAAATCCAGTATTTTGGGGGACTATGGGAATGTCCATTAATGTGTTGGTTATTTCTAAATCCAGCTTTAAAAAATAGTTGCTTATTGGACTAGCAACGGACTACTCCCTGTGGCTCTAAAGCATTTAAATCACTCAGTCATAGACTGACTATGATCTGTTATCCTCCTTGGACTATTGTTTCTTAATTGGTTTAGCTGAAAAGGCTGGTCTGCCACAAGAATGCTTCTAGGCTGAAGTTTCTTGGCAATTCAAACAGCTCCTGTGATTCTGCTTACTCATCTGTCCAAGTTCAGATAAAAGGGATCAAGTGACCTGAAGGGACCAGCTCTGTAAGGAGAGAAGGGTGTGGCATAATGGCCCAAATGGCTCAGACCCACTCACAGATTCCTGAGGAACAGACAAGGACAGAGGACACTGCAGCATCAAACTTCCTTATGTGGGTCTTTTGGTTCATTTTGTTTTCCTTCCCTTTTATTTTTTTTCCCCCAACTAACATTCAACTACAAAGAGACTAAAATAATGAATTTCAAGTTCAGATGGAATATATAATTCTGAGTGGCAAGACACAACATTTGTCTTATTTAACTGCTGTGACATTTGAATTGATTGCAATAAAGCAAGATAAAACAAAGCAGCTTTTCTTGAAATCCCTGGCTTTAAATATATGAGAAAGCTTATCTAGCAATCAATTATGTGAAAGCCTTTGGGTTTCAGTGGCTTGTGAAGCAAAGGATAAAAACCCATTTCACGGCAAAATCTTTTAAACCTTGACTGCAAAAATTCATTTTTTTAAAATAATGATGAGCAAAATTCTGCAAGTGAAAAAAAAAAACCAAAAACCAATCCCTCAAATTGTGATGATGCCTGAATAAAGCTAATCTTTTCATGTATTACTTGAACCATTAAAAAAATCCTTAAAAGCATTCATTCTATATTTTTTATATCTGGTGCTATCTACCCACAAAAAAATGTGTGAAATTCATTTATTTGATCTTTTAGTAAACATTTGTCTTCCCCAATGACTGTAAGAGTAAAGAAACTAACAAAAGAGATGTTCAAACCTTAAAAACTTCCATTTCCTCCAGAATGAGTTCACCACTGGCAGAGCTGTTGGTGGGAAGAACAACCACCTTTTGTACAGTGCCTCGGTCTAAATCAAAGAGAGAACCAAGAATGTGTTAAAAAAAAAATATATATATATATAATGTAATTTACATATATGTTAAGTGCCATTGAGTCATAGGTGACTCATAGCGACCCTATGTATGAAAGACCTGGACACTTGCATAATTTACATATATATATACACATGTATAAAAAGATATAGATATATGTAAAAGACATTTAGATAAAAGACTACAGGCTTAAATATAACATTATGAATTAAGTAACCATACATATAGAATTATCGCTATTCATAATTGGCAAAATTTAGTCCAAATCGCATGGCTTTCAATTTGAAATTACACTCAATTAAAGAGGAACAAAGATGAGCCGCTTTTGCTTGGCACATATTTAGTGCTGGCTTAACTATGAGAGAAGAAAAGCAGTCCAAACTCTTATGAAGTCAAAAGTTCTAAAGAATAGTAAGCCACATTCTGGAACAATTGTGCATTCCTGAACTATAATAAATGACTTTAAATATTTACATTGTAGTTTGGAACATTAGGATATTACTTAGTCCCATAAGCTGACATTATAAAGTAATGCACCTATCCTTCGAACATTGAAACATAGTGATTTCATTATTGAAAACAAATTCATATAGTATAAAGCTTGAGAACTATCAATAAAAGAGCTAAAAGACTTTACAACCTGGATTCATTTGAGGATGAATACCACAAATCTCAGCTCTCACTTCTCAAATTAAATGCTCTTCCATAGGCAAGAGCTACTCTGATATAATAGGTTCCAGATTCTACCTTATTAACATAATAAAAAGTCCCAAAATAATTCTTAATAAAAATAAAACCATCACACAAAAACAACTCTACTAGATCAAATTAAAATGTACTAACCATATTTACAAAAAAAACCCCCTCCACAAAACCACCAAAACAAGACATAAAGTTTTTGCCCGAACTAGCCTTACATACTGCGATGATAGAATAAGAGTACATGATTTTAGAAGTATCAAACCACAATCTATAATTTAAAAATCTACTTTTATACCAAAGCTCATAACTTAAGAGAATTTATTTATAATTCAAGATTCTCCGAAATTTCTGTCTCCCCTAGCAGCTTTCTTATATTCAATCTTGGCAATAATCTTGACTATTTTTCTTGAAAGGGTAGGAATGCAAGAAAGAAAAAGAAGTGTGTCGGGGGGGGGGCGGAGCTTTTGAGGATGTGGTACAGGGACATGTCACAACAGCAAAGGAATGAATGTGGTTGAAAGTGTTCACCAGTTTCTATTAACAAGCACAGGAAATAAGTGCAGAAAACACACTAAGAAACCTAATCGGAAACCCACAGAATTGTAATAGCTGTAGCAGAACTTGTGCACATTTTTGTACATGTGTGTGGTCCATGGAAATTTTATTGAATGAATAAGTGGAAATAATGGGAAAGAAGAGTCAAAAGGATGAAGATGTAACACAATCTTTCTTTTTGATCATGTTATAATTTTTAAAAAAAGAAGTCACAACAGAGTTTATGCTTCACTGCTGTAGCTTATAAAGATCACTATCTAGTTGACATGGTGGCAGAGAGCTCCTCCTTAGAGATCACACCACAAGAAAAGCAGCTTGATTGCAACCTTTCTCCAAAAGAAAATGATGAACAACGGTAATGGTCAAGTGGGTGCTGTCCAAGTGCTGTTTAGTGCTCTGTGTTAGCCAAGCGCACTACAACATATGTTTCTATACAACAAAAAGATGATGTCGTTGTTATGTACCGTCAAGTCAGAAGGCGCAGTAAATGGTAGGGAGGAGGCTGTCCATCTTTCTCCTGAAGATCAGCTTTTCCTTAGATTGAAGAAATGCTAATTACTAATGTAAATATTTCATCTACATTGTCTGATATCCCTAATTTTAAAGTTCAAGATGCTACTTTGACAAGTCATCAAAAATCAGACACTTTCTCCCTCAACTGAATGTTAATAGATCTTGATTTTATTTTCTTATTCTATTCACTGCTCTGTCTTTTAGAGGTATCAAAAATAAGGTCAATCAAGGAGAGCTCTGGTGACCTAGTGGCAAGAAGCTGCACTGGAATTTCAGAGGTGTGTGGTTTGAATCCACCAGATGCTCTGCTGGAGAAAGAGGGACAATCTCCTCCTGTACCAGTCAGATCCTATTTGATGGTGCACACACACAAAATAATAAAATGAAATAAAAAAAAAGCTCAATCTTTTCCCCTCCATCCCTCCAACTCTATGGTAAACATTATATACAGTCTGTATTCTCTTTGTCTGGTCTAAGTATATGCACGTCCTTAATGTATACACTATGCAAATTCCTGACTACATCATGTGTTGCCTTCTACTCAACACATGTCAGTATTGCACTTTCTTTTTTGGTGCTCAGTCATACTTACATAGTTTTGAAATTGTTCTACCACAACAGTAATTTTTTTTTTAATGAAACGCATTGTTTGTTTTCCGTCAATCTTATTTCCACTTTTTAAAAGCCAGTTTAAGACCATTCCATTATTGTGCCGACCCACTCAGTGGCCTGAGCAGTAGGGCTGCAGACCAGTCTTCAGTTGCAGGCTGAGCGCACCAGTCTTCTGTAGGGAACTGCTGAATCGGCACAGAGGGTACCCGGATGCCTTCGGATCAGTCTGCAGCTCAAGCCGAGCAGCAGTGAATTCTCCCTGAAACTCCTACGTGGTCACAGCCTTTTCAGCAGCAGCAGCCTGCTCTTCCTTTTCAATCTCTTCTGGATTTCTGTAGAAGTACAGATCGGGCATGACCTCCCACGGGTGCTCCTGGGAGATTGTGCCACGCATGCGCAGGACTTCCCGGGCCAGCATCCACCACATCAGCCCCACAGAGTGTGCTCCCTTGTTGTTGTACAGGATGGCAATGTCTATGTAGCACAGAGGAGAATCTGTTACACAGGGCAATGGTAAGCAAGTTAGTGCAAGATGTTTCTGTCAAGGCTGGTGATCAGTAACCACCAGAAGACTAGGCTCCCGGAAGGCTGCCTGGATCTGGTTAGTGAAGGTTCCAGGAGTGGAGTGCCCAGCAATAGGAGTGGCCCCAGTAGCAGCAGCAAACTTCAGAACAGCTCTCTAGCTAGTATTTCTGGAGGATATGATACTAACATCAGCTGGAGTTCCAATGGCAACAATGATGAGAGCAGCCAAGAGAAGCTTTTCCAGGTCCTCTTCAGGTTTATGATGTAGAAGCCATCATTTTTCCTTTTGTAGATATACTGTTCCATTTGGAAGCCAAGGTTGGTGCCGCCCAAACACACTCCTGCTGCAAGGAATTTGAGGACATCAAGGGCTCCGGACATTGTGGAAGTTTCCCCTTTAAATTACAATGGGAACCAGAACAATGCTGTATGGACCCTTGCGTGGGTAGCACGGAAAGGACGATACTAAATCATACAGATACTGGATTATTCAGAAGACACAGGAGAATTTCAGTAGCTGATCACCAGGTCAGGTGATTTGTCAGGATGCTCAGTATTCAGGTCTTTAGAAACAAGCATCCTAACTCTTGTGTGTTGTTGTGTTTGAAATGAATCATGGTTGACCTTCCAGGGGGTTTTCAGAGGCAGTAAATCCTACAAGAGGAGATTGCTCATCCTTTCCCGCAGAGCAGCTGGAAGATTCGGAGTATGTGCCCCTGGGATTGCAGGACAGCTTCTTATCCCTAGGCCACCATGCCAACCTTCAATAAGGCTCTTCAACGTAAGTCTTTATAGTTCTGCATCCTGGTTATTCTTTATGGATGCCTTTCTATTTTTGTACCTTTCCCACAGCCTTCAATTGAATTTCCCATTGACATTTAATATGGTCCTACTTAGTTACATCTTGGTCACATTGAATTCTACTGGTTGGTTGTTCAGTCACTTTAATGTCATTTGAAAAAATTGTGGCTCAGAAGGAAAGTGAGACAAATGAAACCATTCATGGTTTCTCCTTCAGTTGATGTTAATAAGATAGCTTCTCTCAAAGTGCAGTCATGGTAGACATATATGGCCCTTTTTTCTAGAACACACTTAACAATTCCTTCAGTTCCTTATCCAGGATAAACTTTTGAGGTATCCTTGTTTTTTTTTTTATTTATTACTGAGAAAGTAAACTTGCATTTTCTTCTATGTCAATATTCAGTCATTGATTCAACAAGGAATTACTGAATGGCATCTGTGAGTCAGACACTATGCCCCAGTATGGTTTTAAAGATATAGCACAATATCCAAGAGTTCACAGTCTAGAATTTATGATTTTTATGAACATTATGCATGTTCCCATGAAAATATTAATTGAAAAATGTGCATTCCAGAATAGCAATAAAACTTTCAATTATTTATCTCCACATAAAGCTATTTCTGTACCATCCACTTTGAAGATGATAATATAGAAGCCAAATGTTTTCCTTCTGGGGATGGTGAGAAAGGCACTCTTTTAGTATGTTAAAAACTACAAATTCCTTTTATTGTTCCACAGAATTAGAATATTGATTTTATTTCTTTGGAGAAAGTAGATGTCTACTCTAGAGTTACAATGAGAAAAGTCACTTTTCTCCCCTTAAACTTTAGTTTGTTCATGTCTAAGATATTAATAATAATATTATTATTTTCTGTAATGACTACATGCTACTCAGCCCTTCAAGATTTACTCACATTTGTTTTGATTACAATGACTTTTAGAAACCACTCTTATTCTAAAGCTACCTGGTTAAGAAATTATTCATTCAGGAGTCTAGACTTTATGAGGAGAAATGTGGCATCAGGATTGGAGGAAGATTTATCAACTACCTGTGTTGGGCATATGAACACAACCTTGCTTGCTGAATCTGAGGAGGATCTGAGGCATTTGCTGCAAAAGGTCAAAGACTGCAAACTTCAATATCGATTGATGCTCAACATCAAGAAAACAAAGATTCTCACCACTGGGCCAACTGGACCACCATAGATGGAGAAGAAATTGAGATTGTTAAAAATTTCAGCTTGCTCATATCCATAATCAACACTA